GATTCGAACCTGCCACCTTAGGTGTATGTGGCTGGCGCCTTAGCCACTTGAGCCACAGGCGCCGAGCCAGCTTGCCTATTCTTTAAAGCCTAGACTTCTTAAAGGATTCTGAAAAGCTTTCATCAGCACCCCCTCCTTTCCCTCGCATTGGAACTTTATAGGAAATCTGTGCCTCATCTGAACTTGTATAGATTTTATTAATAAAGTTATGTTTGGTTGCAGGCAGTACCTGTGGCTCCAGGAGTAGGGTGCTGGCCCCATATACCCAAGGTGGTGGGTTCAAATCTGGCCCTGGCCAAAAACTGCAAAAAAAAAAGTTATGTTTGGTTGAAAATGACAATAACAACAAAGTCAAAGTTGGATTATGTAAAAAGGGAAAATTACTGATTCATATAACTTGGAAGTTCAAGCGATGACTACCATTAGACATAGCTGGATCTAGAGGTCAAATAGTCTCATCAGAAAGTTGTCCTTTTCAATCTCTCAGCTCTATTGTCCTCCATTCACAGGCAGGATCTTTTGCCATGGGTGCTACCCACAGTGCCAGATTTCTACCCTATCAGCTTAGCAACCTCCATCAAAAGAGGATATCCTGTCTGGGCATGGTGGCTCATGCCTGCAATCCTAGCACTCTGGGAAGCCAAGGTGGGTGGATTGCTTGAGCTCATGAGTTCAAGATCAGCCTGGGCAAGAGTGAGACTCAGACTCTACTAAAAATAGAAAAAACTGAGGCAAGAGGATAAGGTTGCTGTGAACTATGATGCCATGGAACTCTACCCAGGGCAACAGCTTGAGACTCTATCTCAAAAAAAAAAAAAAAAATAGCCAGGCATTGCCTGTAGTCCAAGCTATTTGGGAGGCTGAGGCAAGAGAATTGTTTAAGCCCAAGAGTTTGAGGTTGCTGTGAGCTGTGATGCCACAGGACTCTACTGAGGGCGACATAGTGAGACTCTGTCAAGCAAAACTCTCAGGGATAATTCTCACTGGCCAGGGATGGGTTCCATTCTCATCTCTGAATCAATGTCTATGGCCAGGGCAATCAAATGCCCTGATTGGCCAGGCCTGGGTCATGCTCACTCTAAAATATAAGGACTGAGGTAAGGGGGTGGCTCCCCAGGAAACCTGAGGAGCTGCTGCTACTGAAAGAACGGAAAGAGGTTGCTGGGCAGGTAAAATACTTGGCATCAACTTGGAGGCTACATCAGGAAACCTTCTAGCCTATGCTCTTACCTCCTGATGGTTATGGCTCTTCAGTGAAGTATCACCTCTGGGACTCCTTGACACTAGAAGTCAACTCTCCAAGTGTGGGACCAGTCATCTGTAAAC